CACATAAATTTTAAAAATTTACCCATGTAATAACTCACATGATATCTTATACAATAACTCATGTAATCAAAAATTTATTCTTATATTACAGTTATTAATAGAGCTACCTTAATAGGAAATAATCAAGATTTTGATCAATTTAAGATCAATATTAATTAAAATTAAACAATAAAATACAATGGAAATATCAAGAAAATATTAGGTTAAGGATAAACTGGGATTTTAATCAGTAATTTTCCAATTATTAATAATTATATTTTAAATTAAAATAGAAAATTAAATTATCAACTTATTTCTTCTAAAAGTAAATTTAATTATGCAAAAGTTCTCATCATAAATCTATGCATTGCATTATCAAAAAATCTAAAAAAAATCAAGATTTGTTTCTTTTAAAGTAAATTTAATTGTACAAAAGTTCTCATCATATTATATTATCAAAAATTAAAATTTATTTTTAAAATAATTAAGACTTATTTCTTTCTAAAGTAACATACTAATCGTAAATTTATGCATCATATTATCAAAAAATCAATAAAATAATTAAGACTTATTTCTTCTCAAAGTATATCTAATCATGTAAAAATTCTTATTGTAAATATATTCATTACATTATCAAAAAATCAATAAAATAATTAAGACTTATTTCTTCTCAAAATAAATCTGATTGTACAAAAGTACTAATCATAAAACTATATATTATATTATCAAAAAATCAAAATTTATTTTTAAAATAATCAAGACTTATTTCTTTTCAAAGTAAATCTGATCATGTAAAAGTACTCATTGTAAATCTATGCATTGTATTATCAAAAAATTAAAATTTATTTTTATAAAATCAAAGACTTATTTGTTTTATAAAAATTTATCAGTTAAGTGATTTCTTTCTATGATATATTTTTTAGTTACATTTTATCATATTGATAAAAATTATTCTAATTTCATGTAAGTATTTTTCAGCCTTTAGATTTTCTTGATAAAAGATTAAACACATTTTTAATTCATAAAATTTTATTTAAAAGAAATAAATTCTGAAAATTTATTTTTTCTCTTTTATTTTTAAAAAAACAAAAATGTTACATCAAAATGAAAATGATGATAAACCCAACCAAAACTAAAACTAAATTAAAAATCAAAGTTACTTTTTGAAAAAATAATCAATATAAATAATGAAACCATTAAAACTAATTAAAAAACACATAGAAATATGTTGAATGTCCTTTTAACAATATCACCACCATTATCAAAATCTCTAACACTATTATAATTATATTCTTTACAATCATTTAATTCATAGTCTTCACAGTCTTTACAATCATTTAACCTTTCCCTTCCCCTTCATTACTATCACTAACATTATTATCTATATTAACAATTATAAGCATAATACTACTACTACAACCATCATAACCACCATTACCACTACTACCACTACAACCATCACAACAATTATAATCATCATAACCATCACAATTATCACAATCATCATAACCATTTTAACTACCATTACTATTACTACTAGTATAATTAAATTAATCAACAAGATAAATAATAATATTTTAATAAATTTACATTATCATTATAATTTTTAATTATTTCTAATAATTTTTGAAATTATTATAGTTTATTAAATACTTGTTGCTATTATAATAGGTTGAGGCCATTAGGTTAGTAAATGTTCTGATACCATAAAGATATCAAAATTATTATTTTAAATGTTAATCAATGAGTGACTATATGGTAAAAAAATTACTCATCATCTAGTAGAAGACCACTGTGAAAGTAAGAATTTTAAAATCAATAATAAAGTGTTTATTTAATATGAATTTTTTTAAAAAAATTAAATTTAATTATTTTTTTTATATTTTAGATAATGCTAACACTAATGCAATACTACCACTACCACTAAAGCTAATGTTAACACTAAAATCAAAGCTAAAGCCAATGTTAGCATCAAAGCCAAAGTTAATTCTAATGTCAGCGTCAATGTCAATTCTAAAGCCAAAGTCAATACCAAAAAAATGCTAATTCTAGCATCAATACCAATACTATTACCATCACCAAAGTCAATGCTAACACTAAAACTAATACTAATGTTAGTATCAATATTAACATCAAAACTAAAATTAATATTAAATAATGCTAATGCTAATGCTAATGCCAATATCACTACTAACATTAAAGCTAATGCTAGTATCAAAGCTAATGCTAGTATCAAAGCTAATATTAAAGCCAATGCTAATGCTACCACTAATATTAAAAAAATATACCAATACTAGCGTTAATGCTAATGCTAATGCTAAAGCTAAAAAAAGCTGATGTTATTACTACTGCTAATGCTAACTTCAAATCAAAAAAAACTAATATTATCATTAAAACTAAAGCTAAAGCTATTATCACCATCACTAAAATCAATGTCAAAGCAAAAAAAAAGCTGTTATTTGCAGCTTTTATTTTTTATTTTAATTTTAATTGTTTTTTTTACTATATTATTACCAATATTTTGCAATTTAATTTTTTTTTATGTGTTACTGGATTATTTTTTTTTAAATAATATTCAATATATAAATTTTTAATAGAAGAGTCAAAAAATTTTTTTTTTTTCATTTAAAAAAATTTTTTTTTGATAAAAGAGTTAAAAAAATTTTTTTTAAAAAAAATACATTTTTTTATGGATTTCAAAAAAATTTTATTTTTTAATTATTATCTAATAAATAAATATATATATTTTCTTGAATTTTGGAAAACTAAACTTGTATAATTATTAATATTTTAAATAAAATAATTTTACTAATTTATTATAACTAAACTCATAAAATTAATATTTTAAATGAAATTATTTTACTAATTTAATATAACTAAACTTATAAAATTAATATTTTAAATGAAATTATATGGGGTCTTTGCAATAGAAAGGGAGGAAACTTCAAAAAAATTAAAATTTTAGTTTATAAGCCAAAAATGTTCTAAATACTATAATTTGTTCAGATTTATTATTAACTCATTTTTTATTTTTTTTGAGTTTCCTCCCTTTCTATTGCAAAGGCCTTATATAAAAAGTTTATAAAAATAGAATATATTAATTAATAAAAATGTTTATTTAAATCTTTAATATTATAAAGTAGATTAAATATCATATACAGATTATTGCTATTTATTAGATATAAGAAATACAAAAATTCTGAATATTGTAACAAATTTAAAGCTTCAGATATTACTATTATTTTAAATGAAAATAATAAAATTTTCTTTTTAATTATGAAAAGAAAAGATAATTATTTTTATTAACCTAATTTTTATCTTTTAATATTATTGATAAACTTATAATTCTAAATTACAATAATTATTATCTTTTAATTTTACAAGTATCTATTAACATTTATAATATAATATATGTAAAAAATATTTTTTAACCTTAAGTTCATAAATAAAATAAAATATATATTTTAGATATTATAATTAAAAAATATTAAAAATAAATTAACGAGATAAAATAGATTATATATTTATTTGTTAAATCTATATATCACGTGATTATAATTATCTAATCTATAAACTTAACTTCTATTTTCTTTTAAATTAACTATTTCTGATATATTTTTTAAAATATGCTTATTATTAATAAGAAACAAAATATTTATGCTTAAAACTAACTTATAGATAAATTAAGTTAACTAATGATTCAATAAATATATTTAAGAAATAATTTTTTAAAGAAATTAGAGCCTACCTAATCTTTTTATTACAATTTTGATAAATTTAACAAGTATTATTATGGTTTTGTTATTATAATTATAGATAGTAAAAAATTAGTTTTAATTATATCTTAAAGAAATATTTAAGAGAGAAAAAAAGGATTATATTTGCATTTATACAAATTTTTATTTATCTTATATAGACTATCATATTTTATAAAATCAAGAATTAATAATGCAAAAAATCATAATAGATCTTAAAAAAAAGAGTTTATTACTAATTTCTTATTTGTGATAATATTCTAAGTTTATACTTTAAAAATATCTATTTAATTTATTTTTACTTAAAAATTTCTAATATATTAATATATTAAAAATTATAAAGATTAATATAAAAGAATAATTGAGAAAATTTGTTTAATTTTTATGATTTCTCAAATTAGATTTAAATCATAATATTAAATGATATTATTTATTATTTGATAAAAATAAAGAATGTTTTGATAGGAATTATAAATATAAAATTGTTTTTAATAAAATATATAAAATTTATTAAATTTTATATATGAAAAAATTTTAAGATAATCTTTTTTAATTATTAGTTTGTTATACTTCATAAAACTAATAAAAGCAAGCAATTTATTTTATTATATTTTTTTTAATAACATTATATATTCTTAATATTTTAAACATTTTGAACATTTTAATAGTTCTAATTATCTAGTATAATCATATCATATAGAAATTTAAAAAAGAATTTATTTATATCAGTCGGATTCGATCACGTGTCTGAACAAATATTTGTCACGTCATATTACATTTTCGGTATATGATAATATTATTTGTCATCTAATACCGTAATGCGGGCCAATAATCTTTCAATACACGTGATCGAGGCACGACCTCCAAATCAGGAAGATATTCCATTTTAAATTTCTAAGCCACAATACCAAAGCATCAAAGCCTCTTAGAAGCTAAGCCGCTATAACTCTCTCTCTTACAAAAAAACAAAAAAACCCTAATTATTTTTAAAGTTATTTAAAATCAAATAATTTTTTTTTCCTCCTTTTTTTTCCCTCCTCCGGAATCCATTTCTATACCTTAGTTCCTTTTAAAATCTATCAATTCTCTGTTTAAAGGCTAAAAAGTTGAATGTGGAATCTAATCATTTCAAATTCTTCAGAATTTTGAAATCACTTAATAATTATAGGTATTAAATATTTTTTTATTTATTTGACTAATCGATATTTATTTAAATTTTTATAAGCTACCAAACTGTCTTCAATTTCTCAAAGCCTCGAGGGAGGCATGGTGCCACCAAGTCAAACAATTAACGCGTGGATTGAAACTAATCTCTTTCAAGATTTTGCTACCATGCCGACGGGTGGTAACGACTCGTCCGCAAAGCAAGACATTGGTGGCAAACCAGAAATGAAAGAAAAAAATATGAAGAGAAGAATAACGAGGTCAATGTCTCAAACTCAGTCTCCTGCTGATACCCAAAAATCTATTGATGATACCTTAGATCAAGTAATTGATGATGATTCTAGTTCAAATGATGCAAATAAAGCAAAAATTTATTCAGATGTTAAGAAAGATAATTTTGATATAGCGGTCGAAACCAATACAGAACAATTGGATGATTTAGAAGAACAAACCGCTGCCGCACAAGTCTTACAATTATTAGGACTTGCAAATGTTTCAGATGACTCTACTATGGTCTCTTCAGAAGATGAAAATGAAACTTCAGATACAGGTTCTCGATCAGATTTAGCCATTGTGGGTAGTCTTGTTGAAGCTGTGCTATCACAGCAAAGTCCAGTAGCAGGTACAATGTCAGAAACTAACAATACATATTATAATGCACCTGAATGGACTTCTGAAGAAGATGAATTGTTAAAAACTGGTATTAATAATTTTGGATATGGAAAATGGGAAGATATAGCTTCTACTATTTCTGGACGCACAGAAAATCAATGTAAAGAACGTTGGGACATTATTTTATCACTTAATAGTGGCGAATCAAATTCTCTCCAAGAGGAAGAAATAGAAGAAACATTATTAGGTCATTCATATTTTGATACTAATTGGGAAGAAATTGCTCAGAAGATGTCTGATTACGCAGATGCGACAGATGCGAATGTAAATATTTCAATTGATTGGAGTAGCGTCGTAGACCCTACAACTATTCTTCCTGTTACAATGTCAAATGAGGAAAATAATCTAAATGAAGTACCTTCGTCGACACAGTCGCCAAATTGTAAACATTCGATTGATGATGATGAAACGGAAGGATTTCTTAACCAAGAGACAAATGAAACTCAGCAAATTGGTGGTTCATCCAATGAAGGGCTGTCAGCAGATTTACTAATAACGGCGATGGCTGAAAATCCTCAATATTTCTACCAGAATGATTATTCTAATGTACCTTATTCAGCGGGACCGGAAACCTTTCTCATTTCTAACGAAAGCACAAATGTAACGCCACGTTCAGTACATTCTAATGAAACCGAAAATACACGTCCAGCTAAACGACGGAAAAAATCAACAACTTCGGATTCAGATTCTGGTCAAAATACTCTCAATACGTCTGGCGTCGAGAAACCTTTATATACAGGATATTCCTGTTCACATCCGCAATGTAATAAAAGTTTTGCTCGATTATACAATCTTAAATCACATCAACGTACACATTCTAATGATCGACCATATAAGTGCGTATGTTGTGATGCGGCATTTGCGAGAAATCATGACTTAAAAAGACATCAAAAAATCCATGAGAATGCTAAGCCGTATAAGTGTCTTGGATGTGCAAAATTATTTTCGAGGTTTGTTTAATTAATTTGATTAAATTTGGCTGAGTGAGTTCATATAAACATAATTTTTTATATATTATAGATTGGACGCACTTAGACGACATAAGCATAATCCAAAAAGCCGAGAACTATGTCGTGAATCAGAAATAGCAGAAGCATGAAGGTATTATTTGAGGATAACATGTATTAAATATAGGAAATTATGTTTAATCTTATTATTGCAGAGTTTAGAAAATATTTAAACAATTTAATGAATCTTGTATTTAATTAATATCATCTTTGTCTCTAGTTCCACATACGGACAATTATTTTTTTTAATTTGTGAAGTATCGTGGATAGGAATTGACAAAATACAGCTGAAATATACTTCCGAATTCCTATAAGTAATTTTACGTCATTTTGACTTTATAAAAAAAAGTAATTTTTATTTTTACATTAATCCTTTGCAGTTTCATAAAACAAAATGAAAAAATATATATGTATATATTTATTTATTTATTTTTCATTTTTCCGTCTATACTAAATTTAATTTCATCTCATTACGTAATGTTTCAATTTTGTAAATTTTGCATTTTAGTAAAAAAATGAATTGGTATGTACTTTGTAATATAAGTTAAATTATATAATTAAAATATTTTTTTTATTACACTTTTATTTATAAGTATAAATTATATAAATTAATATTCATGTGACCGACATGTAATATGATGATAAACATTAATTTTGATTTGCCTTTAAATATGTTTTTCATAATGGAAACTTATCCCTTTGTCTAGATTTTTACATGCTATTATGTTTATGCAGGTAAATTTGCCTGCATTACAGATGAATGGATAGTTTATTTCAAAAAAAAGTATCTAAAAAAAATACAGTTTTTTATTGATATCATAGCAGACATCAAAAAAGAAGTGGATAAGCTTTAAAATGTATGATTATATGATAAGAGTATCTTTGGAATATAATATTAAAAACATATTTGTTTTCTACTACAAAATTTTGAGACAAATTAAATTTGAATTTTGTGAATTAATTGATACACATTGTGAAAGATTTCTAGTAATCTCAAAAATGGATTAAAATAAAAATTCTCATAATTATGTTAAGCATTTGCTTGTTGCTTTTCTTATAGTCTACTTATCTGTTATGATCTGTCATAAGCAGTATGAAATCTTCTAGTAGTAGCAAAAATGGATTAAAATAAAAACTCTTATAATTATGTTAGACATCTGCTTACTATCCTTCTTATAATCTGCTTGTTATTTTCGTTTTCATCCACTAATATATAACTTTTTTTCTCAATAATCACGAGATCGCTGAATTGATTTGCTAATTTTAAACATAGCAAGCAATAATTTGTAATAAAAATTATCACATAATTCTTCATTTATTTTGACATTTAATATAAAAACAATAGAATATAATTTATATAAAATTGATTAAAGTTATCAAACTTACCAAGTTTCTTTTTTTGTTGTTTGTATTTGAGAAAAAATCTGAATTGTCTTCAATCTTATCATTATTATTATATAGCTTTTCCTGATTTACAGTTTTGTTATTATTACACAACTTTTCTCGATTTACAGCTTTGTTATTATTACACAGCTTTTCCTGATTTACAGCTTCGTTATTACTATATAACTTTTTCTGATTTATAGTTTTAATTTGATTATTATTATTACACAACTTTTCCTGATTTATGGTTTCAATTCGATTATCATTACCGCATTCTTTCTCAGCTTCTTTAATAGTAATAATTGGTTTTTTCATCTGAATAACAGATTCGTTAAAGTTACATTTATCACTTTTATTGTCTGGTAAATTATAGATAATTAGATATAATAGTCAATGCTTACTTTTACATAAACAACCTTTCTTTTTGATCTTCCAAAATAATATGATTCTCTTATTCTAATGTCTTCTTCGCCTGTAGGACTATCAAAAGTGACGTTTTTATAAGTATAGAAGAATTTGCTCACATCTTTGTAACTGAAAAAATATATATAACTGTAGCTATAATTAAATCAGAATCAGTGTGTAATGAATTTTTTAAAAATTAACAGAAAACATATATAAAGAATATAGATAATATAGAAATACTTATATAACATGTATATTTTTATTTACATGTACAAACGGAAGTTTTACTGTTTTGAGTTAACTATATTTCAAGATATTCTTTATTAAGAATATTAATGTTTTCATATAGCATTACCAATAATTCTGATTTTTTACAACAGGAATATTTTTTATAACCTGAAATTAAAAAGAGAGTAAGCAGTTAATTGAAATGTATTATGTAATAAGCAATAAATAGCATATCCATTAAGGGAAGATAGCATCTTGTAAAGAAAAGGTAAATAGCATCCCATCAAGGAAAGGTAGCATCTTGTAAAGAGGAGGTAAACAGCATCCTATTAAGAAAAGATAGTACTTCATAAAGTGGAAATAGCATTCCTGTTGAGAAAAGAAATGGTATGCCTACCTGAATTCATTCTCTAAGAGAGCTATAATAATCTACTTGTATCTTATGATTGAATTGCCGATTTAGTAAAAAGATCAAGAATTCATGAACTAGAAGGTGGAATATGTTTTACTAAAGTTATAAAGGTTATTTCTTAATAGAAGTTTTATGTCACTACTATAGGAGAACAATGTAAAAGAAAACAAAGTTGACAAAGAATGTATATAATATTTAATATGACTTTAACGTAACTTTTAATGTGACAAATCTGATTTCACTAATTTACCTCATTTTTTTGATTAGTCAACATTTCTACAATTATAATTGGCTGAAATTAGATCACATAATCAACATAATTGATATTACACATGGTCTAAATATATCTGTCACCCAATGTCAATTCTAGACTTCACATTTTTTAACAAATAAAATTTTCATTTATTTTAACATCTTATTAACTCTAAATTAGCCCTAAATTAACCTTAAACTAACCCTAAACTAACCCTAAATTGACCTTAATTTTAACCCCAAACTAATCTTAAATTGATCCTTAAGTAACTCATATTTTACACAAAAAAAGATTTAATGCAAAATACAATAATATAAATAATATTCGAAATCATATAATTAAAATAATTTATTGAAATATATTCTAATAAGTTATTTTAAATTTAGTGATTTAGCATATATATTAATTAAACAATTATAAATTCTAAAATAAATAATAAAATTATCTAATAAGACTAGACTAAAATAATTAAAATATGCTTTATTTTTTGAATTTTATATTTAGTACAGCTTGAGAACTTCTTATTTCATCATTGTCAATAGTTCTTGATATAATATCAATTCTTGCAATTCTTGCTCTTTTCATTTGAGTAACTTATATAAGTGTACTTTGTAAACTATAAATATCTTCTGCACTTTTATCTTTCTATTCTACAAGAATTAAAGAAAATACATCTTATAATTTTAAGTTTTTACTGTTTTTATCATAATGAATGTTATGAATATTAGAACATTTTATATTTAAAAGAAGTTTGTATTTCTATATTATTATCATTATTATCATAAATATGAACTTGACTTAATATAGTAAATAGATATTTGTATAGCAATTGTTGTATTTTAAAATCACAACAAGTGCAAACATATGAAATAATACCTAATTCATCATTATTAAAATTTCATCTTCAAATTGAATATTCAATATCATCATTCATCATAAAATGTACAATCCATAAATTTTGATTTAATTTATATACATCTTTTTTATTTATATGTTTAGTTCCTAGAATTTTCTGAATATATTATTGACATTATCTTAGATTCATTCTATTTATTCTCAATTCACTTAAGAAATTTGAAAAATTCATATTTCATAATACAATTTCTACAAGAAGATAAACTTTACCACTAAGTTGACGATTTGGACACCCTTTCATATATGTATATTTTAACTTATGATAAAATGCTTCAATTAAATTATTTGTATTCATATTATCTCTTGCTATATCTCTAGTATATATCATCCACAGTTTGTATTGTGACTTTTACTATCATTCAAAGTAAGTAGTAAATTTTTCTATTACTTTAATGCCTATCTCACGTCATTTATTAATTATAATAATTATTTGTTTTTAAACTTCAGCATCTGACCATCCTTCTGTTTTCAATAATTTCTAGAGATCATTTCAAATAATTTTCTTATATAGATCAATATTTGAATAATGTTTATGAACAATTTTCTAAGCTAAGATCGTAATATATAAAAATAGCACAAAAAATAAACTATCAGACAAACATTCTTTAATTGCATTTATTTTCTCTCCTACATCATCAACCATCAATATGTCTGAAAACCATTCAATATGTTTTTGTTTTAAAAGATCTAACCATTTTTTTAATGTTATTATTCGTTTAAATTAGTTTATTAAAAAAACAATCAGATATCTATATCCTATTACTAGATGTCATATTATAAGGTAAAAAGACGATAACCATAATCATTCATATTATGTGTATCATCTAAACATAATATTTTTGAAGAATTTATTAGTTTATTTTACTCTTTTGTTTGAAAAGCAAAAAGGAAACCTATTTCATTTAATCTATCATACTGTTTAAACAAATAATTTTTACCTTCAATGATTATCTTTTCATGTTACTTTTCTAAAGATATTAATATATTTTCATCAATATAAGCAAATTCTTTCATCATTTTATGTATAATTATATAAATATTATCTTTTATAATTAAAGTATCTCTTAATATCTGAACATTATTTGTATTTGCATAGAAACTGTTACATTCTTTAATACTTGATTCTAAAGTTTAACTACTCTAAATCATAAAAGTCTCTGTATACTAAGACAATTAAGACTTTCAAGTATATATTGCTAAATAAGCTGTCGAATATTTTCAGAAAGTGATAATATACACAAATCTGATAAATGATCAGGACAATGATTATTATGTTTGTAATAATGATGCAGAATTATTGCAGATAAATTTAAAGGAAGTTTAACTTATATGTAACTCTTGCAACCACATTTCTTTATTTTATTTTGTGCTAATCAAGGCTTTTTATTTAGATTTTATCAGCAACATTCTTATATGTATCATATCGATTATAATACCATCATTCTTTTCATTAGTACAGTTTTTTATTACTATCCAACTTGCCTTAATAATCATATTGGACATAGCTAAGTCCTGCACTTTTAAGGTTTTTTATTCATTTCTCATATTCTTCAACTGAAATATGATGAGTTTTCATTCTATTTGCTTCTTTAGATCCTTTCAGTATTGTATTATCATTTTCAACACTTTCTCACACATGTCCAATACCATTTGTAGTATTAAGAATAAGATTAATTTTATTGTCACTTATATTCATATCAATTTTCTTATTAGCTTCTTCAGCTTCTTCATTTATATTAAAAATAGATTTAATATTTGATGGTATTAACATGATAAAACAAAGTATATAAAAAGCTTTGAAATTTTATTTCTTGTATTTGTCATATGAGAATAATGAGAAAATTTGGTAAAAAGTCTGTTAAACCAATAAATTCCAATGAGAAAATTTGGCAAAAGTTTATTAAATTAATAGGTTCTAATAAGGAAATTTGACGAAAAGTCTGTTAAATCAATAAATTCCAATGAAAAAATTTGGTGAAAAATCCTTTAAATCAATAAATTTCAATAAAACAATTATTTTTATTATAAAAATTTCATGAAAAAAAAATCAAATAAAAAGTTAAAAAACATTTAAAACAATTAAATATTTTTAAATGAACATTTAATCAATAATAAAAAGTATATTTAATTTATCAATTAACAAGACGCTTTATAAAATTTAATTTTGATGACAATTTATTATGTGACGTATGTATAAGGAAAATTGACTAATCAAAAACGAGAAATAATGTCAACTAATCAGAAAGATAGAGGTAAATTAGAAAATCTGACAAATTTACATTAAATAATTTTATTACAAAATCAATAAATGAAATATGTAACATTACATCATACTTCAAAGTAGTAATTCAGGATGATTAATACAGTAACTTGACCAGTTATAGTATATATGAAGTTATTATAAAGTTATTAATTATAGGAGATCAAAACTTTTGGATGCTTAATTAATGAACTCTTTAACTTTTCGTATTCTTTTAAAAATAACAATATCCAATTTTTGGTCATATCATACTTTAAGAAGAAAAATTCTATTATCTTAACAAATGCATTATTTTCACTAATCATGATTAACAATGTCTTCGAGTTTTTTGATATCTTTATATCAGCTAGTACTATAAAACTGATGCTGAACCCCTTACACTTCCAATATAATTTGATATTTTTAGAAGAAGGTATCAAGTTTTAATCTATTTAAGAAAGAAGAATGATATTTAATCACAAGTTTTTCATTAAGAATTTTCTTAGCTATCTGAATACATCTAGTCTAAAATTTACAATTTTTCTTAGCTTCTAGTTCCTTTTCATATTCTTCTACAATTGATTTATTTTTTGTGTTCTGAGCCTTAATCTCAAGAATTAAAACTTTAATACTTTTAAAATAGTCTAGGTATTAGGGCGCTGACATATATTAGCTAATATAATTTTAATATAAGCGTTTACCCCCCCACCCCCAGGTAAGATGATC